GTAAAGGGAAAATATTGCAAAGTTTAAAGAGCTATTTCTGTTTCTGTAAATGCATTTTTAAAATCCACTTACAGACAAGGGTCCTTGGCACACTTGCAATCTTCTACCAAAGCTTAGGAGACAGACAGACATTACCCACTGTCAACAAACGCAATCTAACATCACTGATGGAGTGAAAAGCTCCCTAGACAAATGTTAGCACAAAACCTTCTTGCAGTATTTAATTGCAGCCTTCAGAAATAAGAGAGATGAAGTTATCAGTATATCTGAACCACCACAGTGAATGAAGGGGGCTGCTTTCTTGTTCAAAATAAAGAACGAGTAGTGGTCCAGCCTACGTGTCTGCACCAGGAAGGAAGGAGACACGCATCGCTCTGGGCACAGAGAGGCACAGCTGAAACAACACCACTTCCCCGAGGGCTGCTGTGCTTTCATCTGCCTGAGTGGAAAGGGAAGAGATATGGTTTAAGGCCAGAGAAGATGTGGTTGCCCTGCTGGCAGCTGCTGCCACTCCCTGCCTTTTGGCAGATAACACATATGCCTTGAGCTGAAGCACCCAGCTTAGCAGTGTCTAGGCATTTCTACCACATCTGTTGCTATTTTCATGCCATGCCTGGAGTACCATCTACATGGCCAGGGAAAAGTTTAGGTCAGATGAAGCGAGCTCCATGCCACCCTATCACTGGGCACCTTCATTTCAATCTAGCCCACTGGGGAGCATCGACAGAAAACCCCACGCAGTGAGCAGAAAACACCTGAAAATCTGTGCATCGGTGACAAAAAGAGCTATTTTCAGATAGCACTGCTGCCTGCCCCAGCTGGCCTGAACAGCCAGTGTGGAAGCCAAGGGAAGATCCAGGCATCAGAGGAGGCTGCTGCCACTGTGTCTGGCACCACAGTCCCACCAGGAGCTCTCAGAGGCTCCTGCCTCTCGGTGCAGAGATATTTCATTCGTGGAAAAAGCAACTCTCCAACAAAAGTCACTTAAGCTTTTGTGTGGGAATGGCTGAGGGCAGAAGCAGACCAGCACAAGGTGGCGGAGTCACCATGCCAGAAGGTGTTCAAGGAACAACTGGACATGGCACTCAGTGCCATGGTCTAAGTGACAAGGTGGTGCTGGATCGTAAGGTGGACTCAGTAATCTTGGAGACCTTTTCCAGTGAAAACAATTCTGTGAAGGGGGGAAAGGGCACCACAGTCATGCATGGTCCAACCACCACCTCCATGCTAACACCATTCCTTCTCTGTTTAAACAATATACATAATGACTTCAATAAGCCTAAATGGAAGGTGAAATCTCTCGGGATAGCAAAATTACATGTTTTTACTCAGCTCTTTATTTACTTAATGAACAAGACTTCCAACTTCTGCCTTGAACCAGAGCATTCCCTCAGGCACAATTGATTTTTCTCAGCCAGAAAGCCTGCCATGAGCTTAACCAGGCTGACATGTTTGGAAACTGCCATGACACCTTTCTAGGACAAAGTAGAGCTGGTGACAACACACTATCTGCTTGAATAATTCTAACGTCTGGTTTGTCATCTCTGTAGATTACCCAACCACCTCCAACAAATAAGCCAACTTAGTCACTTTTTCCATTAAGAAACGTATTTCCATTTAACGAATTTCCTCTTTATCACAAGTTTTGAAAAAACAGAATTTAAAATCTGAGGCCATAAAGGTTTGCTTTATGATATACTCTTTTGAGGGTACTGGATATACTCTCATCAACAGAATGCAAGCAATAATTACATCTTTCACTGCCTTTTTTATAGCCTTATCTCACATTCTAAGCTAGACAAGAAGAAAACAATTTCCCAAGAGAATTAGTTTTCCTTTTAGACGAGGATCTCTGAAAATTGGTATCACTATTCCAAACACCAATCCCTATTCTGCAAATCCTAATGCAAATGACAGGCAGCAGTAATCAAAATCACTAAAGGGATCCCTCTGGGTTTTTCCAGCACATGACCTTGTTTCCATAATCAGAGTTACAGTATCCCATTTAGGGCTGCAGAAGGTTTTTTGACAACAAGCAGAAGCACCTCCTTCAGATTTTATATTCCCACATACCGGAGAGGAACGTAGGAAACAAAGGCATACTGAAGGGTGTCATTCTACACTCTGCAAATATCCAGAGTGAACACAAACACCCATGCAATATAACCACTGACAGAACAACCATAACATACCCACTTGCCTTTCTCTTTAATTGCAACCATTTAAGTAAGACAGGTTTCAGACAAAACCTGAAAATGGCAGGATTTTTGTCAGGATAACAAGTATCTTTAACAGTGAGGCAGCGACAGACAAGGTATTATAACACATATAATCACCAAAACTAATTTGAATTTTTATTTATTTTTAATTTTATTTTTATTATTCGGAGAGGCATCGAAGTTAATTGTCTCTGTGCCATGACCAGCACATCTCAGAGCCTGCAGAAACTTTAGTACTGAAAAGACTCCTGTTAATAGGTTCATCTCTCACATTTAAAATTAATTTGCTTTTCATGCTATCAATCAAAGAGGCACCATTATTCCAGCTACCAAATCGTTAATGATACTACTGTACTCACCAGAAGAAATACCACAGACAATCGTTTTCATACAAATTTAGCTGTAGCTTCACAAACATTGGCAAAGCAACCTTTGCAGCGTGTCTATGAAACTTCAACCACTTCAAACCCCTGCAAGCTTCTTAGAGACACCTTCACCTTCTCGCAAGGCACTGGTGCATCTTTTACCTTCCTCTATTGCTACAAATAAGTACTTTCTACTAAAACAAACTGCAGGTTGCAATCTATAAATAAATAAATTTAAGGGATGACAGTTTATAAAACCATAACAAATAAACTCTCTCTGCATTACAGATGGTGGCACCAAGATAAAATCCTGCTACCTAGCTATTTGTGGTCCCTTCAGCTATCAGAAGGACATGGGACCAAAAAACAATGGTGGTGGCCTGAATGTTGGAATGATGGACACATACAAGAAAACATTTTTTATTTGCAAAAGTATGAAATCATGAGTCTAAGACTCATCCCTAAAATATCCCATTTCCCTGAATTCAAAACAGCTCAGTAATTTCTTAGGATGACCTGCTTTTTTCTCAGTCCATAGAGACAAGCGGTTTGAAAATAAATGACTACTTTTTTTTTTTTAATGTAATGAGCAAATTACATGTTTAAACTGATTTTTCCTGATGTCACAGCACAGTATCAACCCTCCTCCCTTTTGCAAATCTTTCTTCTCTGCATAACGAAACATTATTTCAAATATGAATGGCAAAAAAAAAAAGGCTTTTGGACAGTGATATTGACATAGAGCAGTGCTGAGACAGGACATTTTAATAATCATTTAGAAAACAGAAAGAGCAACATGGACTATCATTCTGGCTCAGTCAAAAAAACCCAAGCCCCAAATAACTGAACATCTACTTCTGTGAAGGAGAAAAGCTCTGAAGGTGTGAGCTGAGCTGCGGCCAGAGGAAGCCAATGGCATTCTCCACATCTGGTACCTGCATTGACACAGCGTTCCCAGCCAACTCAGTTTTTATCTAAGCTGCCTTTGGAGAAACTAGACACCGTAAAAACCTCAGCCATCCTGTAACCTGGCACATCATCAAAGCCTCCCAACACACAATTACTGTGCTTCACGCCTTTAGACTTTTTTCCTTTGACTAAACAAAACCCTCACAATGGAATAAGAAACTTTCCAAGAGAAATTGTATTTGACAGAAGATCAATGATGCAGAGGTGTTGGAGGGAAAAAAGCCAGTGCTGTTTTGTGTACACCTCCAAGCTTATTAATGGATTGCTCTTAAAACTAGATGCCCCTTCCCATCAGATCAGTATCTGATATTATTACTGAACTCGGAAGTCTGAGGTCTTCTTTAATCACATTAAGGAGTTGGCAATTGCTTATGGAATACAGTAACTTTATCATGCTGCCTGTACTCATCCAGCCATTCCCCTAGGTTTTTGCCTTGTCGGCAGAAACGCTCAGTGAAAACACAGTGAAATCTGACTCACCATATCAACGACACAAGCTACATATAAATATGAATAACCTACCAAGTAAGCACCCAGCTGCTGCTTTAATGCATTAGCACATGTATAGTTATGCACATGCCTAAAAGGAACTGCCATAAACCTCCATAAAGAAACAAATAAGCTCTTGTGAGTGAAGAGAAATCTGTAAGCTTGCCCAGAAATCTGAATCCTGCTAGTCATCACTTTCAAGGCTCAAGCCAGCATGACAAAGCCTTTTCAAGTAAGAGTCTAAGTGAATCTGAAAGAGACACACTTTATATTCACCTCTCAGGACACCACCGTTTTTTTTAAGCAAGCTGTAAGGGAAAGGGAAGCAACAGACAATAACTGGCTAAAGCATTAAGGAACTAAAATTAAACTCCTTTCAAGCTCCTGTCACCTAAGCTTGTCTGCATCTCCTTTTAATACCTTTAAACAATTGCACTGTGAACTGCTAAACCAGGGGAATCCAACATCAAAGCATTTGTGTCGTTTCAGCCCTTTAAATCTTGATGTAGATCATATGCTACTTCACCAGTGGACTCAGGTGACTCCAGAGACAGATGCTAGTAAGCCAGTTTCTTGCAGCTAAGTGAGAGTACATCAATTCTGCCCAAGAGTACTTCCCCCAGGTAGCTGGAGCCAATCACCTTTAAATGGTTACCTTCTCTGGGGACGTACTTGACACACCAGGGAGCAGACTGACCATAAGGGGCCTCCTTTTCTACTGTCCTCCCACCTGGCACCCACCCTCCACCTCGACCCCTGTCTCAATCAATTAGCCAGGAACCAAAACATACGGATTGTTCAAACCGGGCATTTCAAGCAATTCAGGAACAAGTTCTTCTGTGCAGATCAAAAAGGGCACAGTGCATGCCAGATGGTACACTGCTCTCCTTCCCTGCTACAGAAGAACCCCATGGAAAAAGGACTGGGTCTTCCCAGCAGTACCACAGAGGCATCTCACCGTTCACTGCCTTGAGGCTCCCGCTAATGCCATCGCCGTGCTGCCGCTTCTGTGCGTTCTTGAACTCCTTCAGAGATAAATAAAGGACCTTCCGCACCACCCTCTCCTCTGACCAGGGAATCCCATCGCTGTCATCCTAAAGAAGGTAGAAACAGAAAGGAGACATTAGTTGCATGTTTCTGAAACAAAAACAAAGCCCCAAAGGCTAGGGCTACACAACTTATTCATAATTGAAAAAGAAAAAAAAAAAAAAAGGAGGGAGAAACTTAAGAAAAATACTGTGTTAGAAAATGCAACCTGATCAGGTCTAACAGAGAATAGAAACATAACCATTATCATCAAATCAGAGCATTAGTCCCTCTAATCCTTTATCCTACCAACAGCACTAGCCATGTACCAGGTGTTAGACAGGAGGCGAAACTTAATTGTTAAAATCCTTATAATGAATCCCTCACAGAGAAATTTATCACAGCCAGGAAGTGCTTTCCCAGATAATTACGAGGAGAGGGGAAAAAAAAAACACTAAAATGAATGTTGCAGAAATTTAAGAGGCAAGTTTTGTGAACCAACTTCTCTTGTTTGCCATTTTGGCCTTGGTTTGTACCTCTTGGCTCAGATTATTTTTCCCTCTGGTTTCATGATTTGCATTTTTTGCAGTGTTACAATGCAGTTGTACATTGATAACAGTGAAGTTACTCTGAATTTTATCATCGTAAAGCCAAGTGGAATTCGACTCACAGGGCAGATGTTTTCTACTTTATTTTTAGGAGACAAATGTTATGTTGTCAAAAGGAATACTGGTGTGTGTCATATTTAGAATTCACTTTAGTTAAAAGATTAATTCCCTGGAAAAGCAACTCCCTAAAGTCTTTCACATTCAAATAAATTAAGTCAGTGAACTGATATAAAGACGTGAGATAGGTAAGTCATCATATTTTCATAAGCCCTATAATTGTCTCAGGGTCTTTGGAAATCACTCTTTGAGCATTCTTGCCCTTGAACTCCTCAAGGGCTACATCACTGCCACACAAAAGATTAACATTTCTAGGCAGACCTTAAGTAGTAAGTGTAAGTGTACAGCAGCATATCGTCACATTACAGTGGAAATCCCTAAAGCCCCATCAGCGACCCCCACCAGGAGGCAGGAGAGCTTAGACCATCCCATGTGCCAAAGTAAAGCACAGTTTAGGGTGACCAGTGATAGCTTTTTCTTTGCTCCTCTCGTGACATATCGGCATTCAGCCAGTTCAGTGATCAAAACCATTTCCAACTCCCACCTCCCCCCCCAAAAAAAAAAAAAAAAATTCTATGACAAATTACTTGGCGGGGGGTTAAAGAACAAACAAACAAACAAAAAAAGGCAACACAATGAGTGCAGTGAAAGCAGCCAGCGCTTTGGCAGCAGGATGTGCATCTCGCAGGAGGGACAAGCTACCACACTTTGAAGAAGGCTGAGCCATACTCAAGGAGTTTTAGAGCACAGGCGGCTCTGGGCCAAGAAACCAAACTTTGTAACCCAACACCCACAGTAACCAAAAAAAAAAAAAAAAAAAAAAAAAAACCTCCAGGCAAGCACTTTTAAAAGACTAGTCCATGCAGTTATTTTGTCAACAAAGGTTTATACCAACAACTATGGCTTACCCTTTTGCTGACAACACAACTTCAGTCCTAAGCAGAAGCGACATTAAACACTTTAGAGATGAAGCCTGCTCGATTTTAACAAAGCTTGCTCAAAGAGGGCCCCATTTAAATTCTCACCAACCAGGGGACAGGGGGACGCCGCACATTTCTGTTTTCACAGAAATTACTTAATAAATCCTTAAGGGAATCACGCTCAGTTAGGAAACAGTCATAAGCACCTTCAGCACCTGTCCTTGTTATGGACACAAGCCTGTGGGCACCACTTGCCCAGTCTGAGGCCACAACCAAACCCCTTCCTCCACCAGACCACACAGTTCCCACGGAGCTTGAAGCTGCACAAAAACACCCATCATTTCCTGATCCCACTGGCCCACTTAATCCTGACAAAAACAGAGGAGAATAATTTAAGCAAACAAACAAAAATATATTCCCTGTTAAATCCACTTTGTCAAGACAGGTCGCTGCAAGGAGCACGTGGCGGCATTTGCTGCTTCAGTAGTTACAGGGTGAAACCTGCTGACAGGATTGATCTTTAAATCGGCACGTGCCAAGCACACGGCCACTGCAGCAGGTACAACCCGTGCCCTGGCACATGCCAGCGACAGTTCCGCCTGTGGGAGGGAAGGAGCTCATCACCAAACACCAGAGGCCTCTGGTCTAGGCCACCCTCCCCAAGTATTCCTGTGAACAGTCTGAAGTCATCTCCCTCTCCCCAGACAATGTGCTGGATGCGCAAAAGGATGACGTGCAGCCTGGCACCCACTCTTCCGAGGCACAAGGCAGCCGAGATGTCCTCCTGGTGCCAGCTGGAGGCTCCAGCACCACTGCAGGAGATGCTCCCGCCTTCCCACCAGCCTGGGGGTTGCGTGGGCATTAGTGCCACCAGCGAAGAGATGGGTCCCAGAAGACAGGAACAAAGACCTCTCTCAGCAACCTCTGAAGCAACACAGTAACATTTCACATCACACTCAGTTCCTGGAGCTGTAAAACTTGAGACGAACCATACTGGCTTCATCTGATCTCTGAAACAGCAGTGCAGCCAACAGAAAGGCACATGGGAGAGTCTCTCCACACCAGAGCTCCCATCAGCCCAGTTGTGTTGAGGCTGCAGCCACTGTCCTGCCTACACTGCTCTGCTGTGGGCTTTCCCTACACCCTCTATGTGGCTTGAAAAAAGGTCCTCAGTTCCCCAACACCACGTGTATCCAAGCTCAGCAAAATAAGGGGCTCAGCCACTGCCAACACCTGCATTCACATGGCTCCACACACAGGGGCAATGCAAAGGTTTCGCCGTGGTCGAGCACATCTTCCCCAGAGCCTACTGCACAAAAGCAGCCGCGAGCCAGGGAGCAGCTGACTCAGAGCCCAGCTGAGCTGCTGCTCCACCGGCTGCAGCTCCAGCTCCCGGCACATTTAACCATAATTACATGGGTCAGATCGCCTCTGCCTCATCACCCCAGCGTAGGGAGAGCCGTCGTGTGCCCAGTCTGCACTCACACCGCTAACTACTGGAAGAGTTATCTCACTTTAGCAAAACAACATACACATGCCCAGAACCGTTGAGAAGTATGGTCAAGTGAAAGCCTTGAGGAATTTAGTCTATGTAACTTCTCAACACCACCCCACCCCCCCTCAAAACCCAACCTCAAAGGGATTGACTCAACTGCTGACTTTAAATACTTCCACAGGGAGTAGAGATTTGTTAATAGATGGCTCTTGAGGCTGGCAGAGAGGGGTATAATAACATCCAACAGCTGGAACTCGATTCAGAAAAATGTAAGAATTAAAAACCAGTTTCTGCAACTGTGCAAGTAATTAGCCATTGAAACGACTTGTGGGGAACTAATGGATTGTCCATTTTTGACTCAAACCCAAAAAAGGACTGAATAACATCTTGAACTGTAGGTTTATCGCCACAAGCCCATAACCTTCAGTGTGCAGGTCAGCTGAGATGATTTCTGCCTCCTAATCTGACAATAAGATTATTTTATAAACTCTGTATAAAAGGAACAGATGCAAACAACCTGGGAATCCCTGGGGCAGAATGAGGAAACACAACTGCATCATTTCCTTTAAACTGCTTTAAAAAATAATCATGCCACCTTCTTTGTTGTGCCATTTTAGGGAACCTCATATTGTACATTTATATCTGAACATCTACCAGGACAGCCAAGCAACATTTTGGCAAGTTCAGTCCAAGGGGACAGGGAAGAGGAGTATAACCTCCATTTACCTACACAGTACATTCCTACATAGGATGCTACCTCATATATTGGAGAACAGCTCTCTTTCATGCTGTATGGCTGGTGGCTTGCTTTCAGCTTTACAGTTCTGGAGGTGACGTTGGCAGGCTGCACACAGCCTTCCTATTTCAAAAATTATACTCAAATCCTTATTAAAACAAAAGCAAAGCAAGCAGAGGCGAAGGGCAAGCTTTACACCACCTCCTGGGGGGGTGAAATGTCAGCCTGAAGTCGCGGGAGCTGCTGCACTCCTCGAGCAGCAGCAGAAACATGACTGAAGCTTCTCCGTTCATTCATCACACAGATACGACATTCTTCAGCCTGGCCCTGGCCTTGCCTTAAGCAAACAGGAGTCATAGTTCACAGGGTAAAACAAAGCTGGGACAAGGGAGAATCCATGAGGCACTCCACGCTATTTGTTTTACTTTTATGTAAATACTTTTACAGCAGTGATGGTTTAATTTAAAAAGTCAGGACTTCGTAAGGTACAAAGATCCTTATAAGCATGTGTGTTATGACTCAGTGAGGCTGGAGTGTTTCCAGCTCTCTCTTTGGGTCTTTCCCAAGCACGCATCTCTTGACCTCATTCTTCATGCCAGGTTGCAAAAAGCAAAACAACAAAACACAAACTCCCTCTTTTTTCTTTTTTTTCCAGTGCTGCAGCCAACACTCGGTTAAAATCACTGTGGCACCCAATGCCCTAAATGAATTTGCTTTCATGGTTCAACAGTCCCCAGAGAGTCTTTCCCGCAGATGCAAGAAGGTCATTTTGAAGCAATGGGAAAACTAAACCACAAGTTTCTACTCTTTCCTCAAGGATATTTTTGAAGGAGAACTGTTTCAAAGGGTGGTTTTTACTGTGTTTAGTTAGAAACATAACAAAAATCTGTCTTTTGCATGAAAAACACATTTTCAGAGATCATATGAATTACTTTTCAGCTGAAGGATCAAGATGGAAACATTTGTTTACTGGACCCAAGACCTTCAATAGAGTTTTGCCTTTTGGCTGTGTATTACCAACGGAAAACAGTTATATCTGTTTTTCTCTAGAAGTCAGACCTAAGAGAAACTGGAGGAAAACCCAGATACACCTTCTGAGGCCAAGAGTGACCCTTCTGTGCAGGCTTGGGCGAGTCAGCACTGCTAGGTGAAATTAGCAGGCTTATTCATTTACACAGCCCACTTTTTCAGTATAAGTATACACAGCACGAACCTCATGAGAAAGTGCAAAATGTTACTGCTGTTACCAACA